TTAATAGACTAATAATGTGAGAGTGTTTTCTATTTTTTATTTTATTTTTATTTTGTTTTGCATCATTCATGAGTTTTTATCATTATATCTCCTTTTTCACCAAAACCAAAGAAAACTCTCAACCATTTTTCTCCCAATACCTTTTATCCATTATCTGCTTTTTGGAATGGGATTTTTTTTTTCTTTTGAATCACAAGAAATACACTAAATACAAAGTGACATTGTCACACAATCAATCTATTGAATATTTGATTGTGGGTTCACCAAATGACTACATTAAAGACATACACATAATTTAATGAGGAAAATATGTGAATCAGTAATTTAAGGAAAAACTTAAGAGTTTGTCAATAATTTAAGGGTCATTTAGTCATTTTGTCTTTTCCAATATACAAGATACTTTTTAGAAATCTTCTTAAGCTGCTCTAAACAAATACAACCAATCCAGTTAGGATATCCTTTCATATAGGTTAAATGTATTAATTTCTAATATTAGAAAGTTAGTATCCAAATTTCTAAAGACACTCTCTGTTTTTCTCTCTCTTCAGAAAATTTTCATTTGACATTATTTTCTAATTGCATTAGGCTTATAAGCAGTTAATGCTCATCTTGTATGTTAAGAATCAATTGAACAAGATTATATAGAATTGTAGATATAGGGGATGTGATGGATATTGCATCTGCAGGCCAATTGAACTCCGTCTTCCTTTTGTCGCCAGTGTGTTTGATGCATGACTTCTCCCTCACTACATGTCTTCTTCTTGAGAAAGAAAAAAAAAACTAGTGCTCATATTTGTTTCCTTTTTTATGAATTTTAAAAATTTTATTAAACGGCAGCTGTGCAACGGTCGGTTCGGTTCGGTTTTTACTAAAATTTGAACAACCGAACCGAACCTCGGTTCGGTTCGGTTTTTACTAAAATTTGAACAACCGAACCGAACCGTCTATAATTCAAAACCGAACCAAACTGTTACAAGTCGGTTCGGTGCGGTTCGGTTCGGTGCGGTTCGGTTCGGTTTATTCGGTTCTAACTTCATCAAACTTCTTATCAAACAACAAACTGTGTTAAAGGAAAAAATATATCAACAAAGTAGGAGATTATGGAGCATTAAACATTGATATAATGATATTGTTTTTAACCTATAATGATTCAGAAAATGAGTTTAGGGTTTGAGTCTTTGACTCTTTGGGGACGAGTCAGGTAGGGTTTGAGATCAGAATGAGTAGTATTACACTATATTCGGTCGGTTCGGGTCGGTTCGGGTCGGTTCGGGTCGGTTCGGGTTGAAAAGTTTTCAAACCGATCCGAACCGCCCTACTCATAAAACCGATTTTTTCTGGTCGATTCGGTCGGTTTTTTCGGTTTAGACCGAACCATGCTCAGCCCTAATCAGGACTTTCAAGCGTCTTTGAGAAGAATGTACGTTAATATCTGCAAGCAAAAGAAGCTAACTTATGTGCACAAATGTTGTATGCATGTTGGACACGAAAAATAGAGGAAGAGTTGACTCTTTGAAGAGAGACCAACAACCGCCAAAGAGACTCGAAAGATACGGAGAATAAGTGATTGCTCCATGAAACATTAGCACTACATGAAGACAGACAAATTCTAACAAGATATCTGTCCAAAATATAGATAAGACAAGACGTAGTCCGATCAAAAGGCTAACGTTTCATGCTCAGGAGGAGACAAATGTGGGCAAATGTGCCAAAGGAGTGGAGATGATGACCATGATAGTCGTGAGTTATGACTCCCAACTACAGAAATATCCTCCTTGGAGTTGGGGAATTTAGGTAGTCCCTGCCTACTACGATCTATTCAACTTGGAAGACAATCAACGATTCACAAGATAAAAATAACCACAATCAAGAAGAAAGAACACCGAAATTTACATGGTTTGGTCGACCAACTTTGACCAACATCCACGGGGCAACAACATGAGAAATCCACTATGTATCAGAGAGAAACCACTCAACTTTCGTCTCTCAATCTCTCAATCTCACATATATAATCAACTCTCATATTCTCTCCTGAACCCAACCATTATTATCTTTTAAACAGACAAATACTGCGAAACTTTCTCCCGCTGTTGTAATTTTTTGCATGGATAAAAGACTACGAAACTCTCACTTCTCGTACAATATTCTTGAATTAGGCTACAACTTCTGCTAACCATGGATTATAAGAATATTGGCTCTCTCTCCAAATATATTCTCTCTCTCTCTCTCTCTCTCTCTCTCTCTCTCTCTCTCTCTCTTATATATATATATATATATATACTCTCTCTCTCTCTCTCTCTCTCTCTCTCTCTCTCTCTCTCTCTCTCTCTCTCTCCTTTGATTTTTCCTCTAATAATAGAAGAATATATATAGGGAAACCAAAACCCTACCCCTAGCCAAACTTTCTAATTAGAATAGGATACAAACTTCTAATTATGATGAGACTCAATCTTCTAATCATGATAGATCTGTAGCCTTATCTAATTTTCATGAAAGTATACAAAGAATTAAAGATATAATCTCAACAATCTCCATATTGAATTTGATTCCCAAGCCACCTCGATGATCTACCATTACGGTCTTGAAACTTTGTCTCTCCTGCTAGAGTTTTTTATTCCTTTTGTACTTCAATATGAAACAACTAGACTCCTAATTGGAACACCTATACTCCAACCTGGATGCTCCTATGACCTCATTTTCATCTACCTCAATATGGCGCCTCCACATCTCTTGTGCGCACCAAGAGATCTTTGTCACCTCTAACATTAGAAGCAAATCAACCATGCTTGTCCTCCCAACTTGAGCCTAACAATAGCCTCCTCCGGCTTGTTGTCCTTGTGCTCCACCTACATCGTTCGTCTTAAACTATATCGTTGTATCTTTTCTACTCCACACTACAAGCTGGGTGCCTTCATCTCCTCCATTATTTGGCTTGGATCGAATATGAGCACTCATCGTCTTACACCTCTCGTAGTCCAATGCTACTATTTCCATCTCCATGGGTGTCATTCAACAGTGCCTTCTTGTGAGCTCTGCCTAATTTGGCACTATCTTCCTCAAGGCAACACACCGACCAACTCATGCTCCTGCGATGACTCCGGAATAATTACATGCTAACAACTCTATTATTAGAACCACGTCTGATTCTTTACACCAGTCTTATCCGTCACATACTCGTTCACATTATCCATTATCAGATTTGTCTTGTCATCATTATTAAAACTTTTCAGCACTTTCTGATCAATTTGAGCAACATCTGAAAAATCAAACTCTTCCATCGCATTTAGAGCACTCCAAAACTTAGAAATGGACTCCTGGATCGCTAAAATATGCCTCCGATTCATCATTCTACACACCAACTAACCTCAACCAATGATCTGAATTTAAAAATAAATCTATACACCAAACTCCAATTTCATCCATTCATCAGATCCTCACATGAATCATTTTCCCACTTGAATTAATGTTCACCTCACCATGCACATAATTCCTTCGCGTGGTCCTACCTAAGTCAAGCCCCCTCACATGCTTCTCTTCTTCCCACATGCAATGCTTCTCCTCCTCGCAGTTTTCACGCGAACATGAACATCAAACACTAGATAATTGTCGCCGCCATTGTGAACCCACCTGCCAGCAACTAGTAGAAAAACAAGCAATCTAGACAGAACTTTTTGTCTAGGTTGCTACATTTTCCGTCTAGGCTAGTGCACGTAGACGGAATTCCGTCTAGTTTGTTTCATCTAGTCTGATTCTGTCTAGGTCGGGGCAAACTAAATGAAAATCCGTCTAGATTGACCGACCTAGACGGAAAGTAACCTTAACGAAAATAACATAACCGTCTAGGTTGACAACCTAGACGGAAATCCATCTAGGTTATAATAAAGCCAACATAGACAGAAATCCGTCAAGGCTGAATCACTCTAGACAGAAATTCCGTCTAGGTTAATATTTTTTCAGCAAAAAACAAAATAATTACAATTTTCAATTCCCTGTATAATTACATTATACACATGAATAAATTCAACCATCCAAATATAATCAAAATTCATAATAATTTCATTAATAACCAAATATAATCAAACCATCTAATGCACATATCCAACAATTCTATTATACACAATGCACATATCCAACCATTCAGTCCAAAATATACATCAACCAATTCCATCCAATATATACATCCAACAACATGTACACTAGCAACATACATGAATAAGATAGGGTACACGACATGAATAAAAGTAGAGTTCTATAACAAATAAAACTGTTTATTACATTAAAAAATAAAAAACCTCAGCTATCGTCGGCGGCGGCAGCATCCCTATCCCGGTTACGAGAACGGGTGCTGCTCCCTCTAATATCTCCACTCTGAAGGTCCAATTGAAAAATAATTATATGGCGTTTGATAACATATTAAACAAAAATTAATTTATACATATAAGAAAAAATAAGGTACATGAACATTGCTCTGCCTAGCATCGTAGTTATCGCCAATCGAGCTTATGATCTGTATGATACCATCGTACGTGCTATGGGGAATTGCACCGCCTAGATATTTCATAACGTACCCCATGAGATCGTCCATCGAGAAAGAGCCCTATCAGTTGCAAATGGACCTACAAGGTCAAGACTAGAGCAGACGGAACCATCAAGCGTCATAAGGCTCGGTTAGTCGCTCGAGATTATACACAACAATATGGTGTGGACTATGAGGAGACATTTGCACCAGTTGTCAAAATGACTACTATTCGAACATTGCCCACTGTTGTTGCTTCCCGACAATGGTCATTATATCAAATGAATGTCAAAAATACCTTTCTGCACGGCGACATCACTGCGGATATCTACATGACTCCACCTAGACTCTCTCACTCCAAAGGTCTCGTCTATCACCTTCGCCGAGCTCTCTATGGTCTTAAACAAGCACCTCGTGCATGGTTCGCCATTTCATATAGGTTATGCAACCGGTTGACTTTCATCCAAGTGAAAATGATCCAATAATGTTCATCTCCTCCTCCAATGGTCAACGCACCATCCTTCTCTTTTATGTTGATGACATGATCATTACTAATGACTATCCATCGACTATCAACCAGATCAAATCTCACCTCCAACAAGAGTTTAAAATGAAAGACCTAGGTAATGTACATTACTTCCTCGGACTGGAGATCACTCAAACACCACGTGGCTACCACCTATATCAACAGAAATTTGTCACTGAGTACATCATCAATCGTGCAGGCACAAGAGATTCCAAACCAGCTCGGACGCCCCTTGAACTGAACGTCAAACTCAACACCACCGATGGTGATCCTCTCTCTAATGCAACTAAATATCGACATCTTGTAGGAAGCTTGGTCTACCTCACTATCACCAGACTTGACATCTCTCATGCAGTTTATGTCCTCAGTCAATTTGTCACAGCACCTCACTATCCTCATCAATCAATATTGCTTCGTGCTCTACGCTACATTTGTGAGGCACTATGCAGAGCACTGTTTTTCTCAGCGTCATCATCACTCATCCTTCGTGGCTATAGTGATGCTGACTGGGCAGGCGACACTACCGATCACAGATCTACCACTGGCTATTGTATCTTCCTAGGTGACTCTCAAATATCTTGGAAATCTAAAAAACATGATGTTATCTCTCGCTCTAGTGCGGAATCAGAATATCACGTCATGGCATCTACAACAATAGAGATCATCTGGCTTTTACGAATGCAATCTTGTCTTATACGAATGCATGAAGCACATAGAGATTGACTGTCATTTCACTCATCATCATCTCCTGGCTAGCACAATCTCTCTCTCCTATGTCAATACTGACCTTCAACTAGTAGATCTATTCACCAAAGCTCACACAATATAACGTTATCTATTTCTTCTTGGCAAACTACCTTTGGTTAACCCAACTGCAATTTGAGGGGGGGGTGTTAAATATTGCATAGATAGCCTCTTTCGTTTAGTCCCACATCCAGTAGAGTAATTGAACAATACTACTCACATTGTATATATAAACCACAATACCAATGAATACAAATATCTTTTATTCTCTTGATTTGCTTTGTTTCTGATAGTATCATACCCCCATAAATTGTACTCATTTCTAATTTGCATTCAAAGACAAACGATAGCTATCCCTTGACAATTTATGATTGTGGTAAGGTAATGATCTCTTCACTATTTGTCTTTTTTTGTGATAATTAAGGGGATCCGAATTAATTATGTATATACATAGTTTCAAGCTTCAAAGCAAGTCTCAAATATGAGCAGAACACGCATGCGCGTGCACACGTACCCACACAAACACGCACATGCACGTACGCACAACCGCGCACACCCACACACACCCACGCACACGCGCACGCACAAGCACGCACACGCGCGTGCGCACACCCACCCACCCACAGACACATAGACACACACACAAACTTGGTCAACTCTTGTCCATACAAGCATCACACAAGATGGAGTGACAAATTTAAAGAACAAAAAAGGTTGTCTGATATTGGCCAAATGTTTAAGATTTCACTAATATGTTGGTTCCTATTTCCATTAAACTCCAACACATATTGGATTAACAGTCAAAGAAAATTATGTTAGACTTGATCGTAATTAAATTATAGAGATTAAACATCAATAAGAGCGAAAGCTATACCTGAATCTATTGTTTGGATCTGAATTAAGGTTTTGATGATCTTCTAATCTTAGGGTTTCTCCTTTAGTATCTCTTTAGATGGGGATAAGAGAATTGAGTGTGTTAACCCTAAATTAGGGACCATAACCCCATATTTATAGGTGTTATACTTTTATAATTTGGACCCTCATCAAATTATAATTACAACCTGATATCTGCACATTTAGCCCTTGGTTTATTTAAACACTCATTAACCCAAATTGATTGATCCCTTTAAGCGGGTTATCCTTAAGGATAGCAATACCTACTGATATAACATATGTGCCCACAAATATATTTAATTAGATTTAAATCTAACAATCTCCCACTTGGGCACCATATGTTTCTTTAAAGTGTGTATAACCTTATGAGCTCAAAAATTGCTATCATAAATAAGGGCATTTCCAAACAATCTCATCTATTGACTATATCAATATAGGATCAAAGTGGCCTTCGTCATATTTATCGTGACTCGACCCATCAATGGTCACATATACTAATACAATCAAACGACATAGATCAATCATAGATGTGCAGTATGAAAATTACATGCAATGTGACCAGTACATGTCTATTTCAACTGGTCCTACCTTAAACTTTACTGAGGTCATCCTCAAACATAATGTACCAGAGTGTATGAACTAAAAACTTTATTCGGATCAGACAATACAACCTAATATAAAGCATCATAATCACAAACTCCCACTAAATTATGATATCCTCGATTAATATCTCACCCATATGAGCACTGTGCTTATGAAAGACCTTAGATGGTAATCCTTTAGGAAGAGGATCAGCTATCATGGAGTTTATCCCAATGTGCTCTATGAATATTTGTCCACTCTGTACCCTTTCTTTCACAACTAGGAACTTAATGTTAATATGTTTTGACTTAGTTGAGCTCTTGTTGTTATTCGAATACATAACTGCAGATTTATTATCACAATATAACATTAGTGGTCTTTCAATATTTTTCAGAATGAGCAGTCTCGTGACAAAATTTCATAACCATATTCCCTGATTTGATGCCTCATAGCAAGTTACAAATTCTGTTGTCATAGTGGAAGAACCTATAAGTGTCTGGTTGATACTTTTCTATGATATAGCTCCTCCTACTAACATATAAATGTAGCCTGATGTAGACTTTATGCTATCTTAACATCTAGCAAAATTAAAATCAGAATACCCAATGACCTCCAACTGTTCTGATTTTTTGTATGTGAGCATATAATATTTTATTTTTTGGAGATATCTCATTACCCTTTAGACTGATATCCAATGATCCATATCAGGGTTGCTTAAGTATCTGCCTAACATCCCAATAATGTATGCAATATCCAGACGCGTACACACATGAACATACATTAGACTTCCTACAGCCGAAGCATAAGGAATCTTATATATTTCCTGAATTTCAAGGTTGTCTTTAGGGCACTGATTGAGACTAAACTTATCTCCTTTAGCAACAGGGGTGTCTCCTGGTCTGCAATCTTGCATACCAAACCTTTTAAGTACTTTATCGATATAGCTCTTTTGTAATAATCCAAGTATACCTCGAGAACGATCTCGATGTATCTGGATTCCTAATATAAAAGAGGTGTCCCTAAGATCTTTCATCTCAAAATTTTTTGATAGAAACCTCTTGGTTTCGTGCAACATGCATATATCATTAGTGGCAAGTAATATGTCATCGACATACAGAACAGAAAAATATACTTACTCCCACTGAACTTGTGATATACACAGTCACCAACAATGTTCATTATAAAACCGAACGAGATAATTATTTGTTAAAACTTGTAATACCATTAACGAGGAGCTTGCTTGAGTCCATAGATGGATTTTCTTAATTTGCAAATCATATTCTTCGGGTCTCTTGATACAAAGTTTTCTGGTTGCGCCATATAAATTATCTCATCAATGTCGCCATTGAGAAATACAGTCTTAACATCCATCAGATGTAACTTAAGATCAAAATGAGTAACAAGTGCCATGATTGTTCTAAAAGAGTCTTTCGATGAAACCAGAGAGAAAATCTTTATATAATCAATGTCTTCTTTTTGAGTAAAACCTTTAGCTACAAGACGTGTCTTATACCTCTCCATATTACCGTTTGTATCTCACTTGGTTTTAAAAATCCATTTACAACCAATTAGTTTTGCACCTTCTGGCAATGAGACAAGTTCCCAAATCTTATTGTCTTGCATAGACTTGTACTCTTTATTCATGGCATCAATCCACTGTTGAATTAGAACTTTTCATGGCCTGAAGGAAGTTGATTGGATCATCTTCCAACATTCCATTATTATCCTCATGTTCTTGGAGAAATACAATATAATCATCCGGAATAACATTTTTCCTTTCTCTCATGGATCTCCTTAATGGCACTGGTTCTTGAGGTTGTTGAGTTTGTTCTTCTGAAATAGGAAGTTATTCAGCATTGTTATCTTGAGGTTTCAGATTTACTTCTTGAGCAACAACAGATATAGGAACATGAATATTATCAAAAGTAACTGTATGGATTAGATCTGAAGCCAATTCCTCCTCAAAAGCAATGTCTCTAACCTTATTTCTCCCCTCAAACTCAACATCCTCAAAGAATATTGTTGTTCCCGTCTTAAAAATATTCCTGAGTATAGGATCATAAAACTTATAGCCCCTAGAACGTTCAGAATACCTAATAAAGTAGCTGCTAACTGTTTTGGAGTCCAAATATTTAAGTGCTTTAAACTAGGCCTTCGACCAGTCCAAAGCTCATAAGCTGTTTTAGCAACTGCTTTACTTGGTACTCTGTTTAGAATGTAAGCTGCTGTCTTTAGTGCTTCTCCTCAGAGTGACTCTGATAAAGAAGAATGAGTAATCATAATTCTTACCATTCATGCGAGGTGAACCTGACATGGTATACTGTGGGACGATATCGCATTCTTCTAGGTATCTAACAAATAGTCCTGAACATTGTTCACCTGAACCATCATATCTGTCGTAGTACTCACCACCACATTCAGATCTAACGGGTTTTAATTCTTTTGTTGAGTTGATTCTCAACTTCAGCTTTATAGGCTTTGAACATGTCCAGAGACTCATATTTTTTCATGAATGAGATATAGGTACCCATAACGTGAGTAATCGTTTATAAATGATATAAAATATTATTGACAATTCCAAGATGCCATAAGAAATGGCCTACAAATATGCGTATGTATTAATTCTAAGACGTCTTAAGATCTTTTTGCATCTAATCTCTTAACTTTAGTTTGTTTTCCCTTGATACATTCAACGCATACGTCGAAGTCTGAAAAATCAAGAGAATCTAAAAAGTCATCAGACACAAGACGCTCAACTCTACCTTTTGAGATATGACCCAAACGCTTATGGCATAATATCGCCGAATTTTCCTTATTTAATTTATGCTTAGTACCACGTGATTTCACATGCAATGATTCATTATTAGAAGCAATTATATCAAGCAAATATAGGTTGTTGTAAGTACTCAAGTAACCGGTTCTCATAATATTTGAATTAAAAGATAAATTAAATTGATTGTTTCCAAATGGACAATGATAAACTAATTTGTCCAATAAAGAAATAGAAACCAAATTCCGTCTAAAAGATGATACTACAAAAGTATCTTTTAAGTCCAAATATGAACCAGTTCCTAATAACAACCTAAAGTGCCCAATTACTTTCATGTCTACCGATTGTCCGTCGCCCACGAAGATGTATCTTTCAACATCACTTGGCTTTCGGTAGCTCAGGCAGCCCTACATAGAAACACTTATGTGAGTAGTAGCACCAGAATCTAACCACCAAGTGTTTCTAGGTACTGAAGCTAAATTAACCTCAGAACAGCCAAAGTAAGGAACATATCCTTCTTAGCACGCCAGACATGATATTTGGTATAGTCCTTCTTTAGGTGTCCAGATTTGTTGAAGAAGAAATAAACCTGATCATCCTTATATTGTTTCTTCTGAATAGGACCCTTAGCACCTTCATTATCATTCTTTCTTTTCTTACCCTTATCCTTAGAGGCATAAGCCAGATCAGCACTTTCTGTCTTATCTTACTTCAACATGTTTTCTTCTTGCAC